GATCAAAGACTTCAGTATAGATTACACCTCAACATAAAGAAAACAAGTCTTCACAGTTGGCTCAGTAAGCAACATCATGATAAATGGAGAAAAGATTGAAGTTGTCAAGGATTTAATTTTACTTGGATCTACAATCAACACCCATGGGAACATCAGTTGAGAAGTCAAACGAAATATTGCACTAGACAAATCTGCCGCAAAAGACCCCTTTAAAGTGTTGAAAAGCAAAGATGTCACTTTGAGGACTAAGGTGCACCTGACCGAAGCTATGGTATTCTCACAGGCCTCATGAAAGCTGGACAGTGAATAAGGAGGACCAAAGAAGAATTGATGCCTTTGAACTATGGTATTGGCAAAGAATAGTGACTATACCATGGACTGCCAGAAGAATGGACAAATTTGTCTTGCAAGATGTACAGCAGGAATGCTCCTTGGAAGTGAGGATACTGAGACGTCGTCTCCCATCCTTTGGTCATGTTATCAGAAGGGACTAGTCCCTGGAAAAGGACATCATGCTTGGTAAAGTAGAGGGTCAACAAAAAAGAGGAAGGCCCCCAATGAGATGGACTGACACAGTGACTACAACAAAAGTGTGAGGGTGGTGCAGGGCGGGGCAGGGTTTCGATCTGTTGCACACAGGGTCACTGTGAGTCGGAACTGAGTGACAGCACCTAGCAACAACAGTATTGGATATTTCTCTCACTGTGGTTTAGAGAATAGACTAAACTGCCTAGATTCTAACCCTGAGTCCATAACTGAGGGACCTTAGGGAAGTTACTCTACTTCTCTGTGCCTCAGTTTCCTTCATCTATTAAAAAAAGAAACAAAAAAAACCTCACTGCCATCGAGTCCATCCGACTCATAGCAACCACTCCTTGGGTTTCCAAGGCAGTATCTCTATGGAAGTAAATTGCCTAGTCTTCCTTCCAAGGAGTGGCTAATGGGTTTGAACCTCCAGCCTCCTGGTGAGCAGTCAAATGCCTTAGGCACTATGCCACCAGATGGGACTAATAATGGCATCTATATCCTAGGCGTGTCGCGAGGCTTATGTGAGTTAATATGTGGAAGGCACTGAGCCGTGCTGGCACGTGGTGAGCACACTGCTGGAAGGTCTCTGTGCTCCGAGCCCACTAGCCATGATATCATGATTATCATTCCCATCCTGCCCTCCGTGGCGGTCCAGATTGTAGTCCTCACGCTCTCCGCAGCAGCAGACACCGAGTGCGGGCCAGGAGGCAGCACAGTTATCCCATTTGGTGGGGCCTGCAGGGCCGTGCAGTCCACTGCCTGTCACTGCAGCACCTGTAGCCGGCCCCGCCCAGCCCCACAGTGCAGCCCCTGCCCTGGCCTTACCTCACAGCCTTTGGCCATGGCGAAGCCCCCACCCAGGAGGAGGATGATGCTCCAAGGCACTGTCTCCTGGGCCTTCTTCCACGTCAGTAAGGGCTCCGTCTCCATGTTGGGAGCTGGGCAGAGAGAGGGACCCAACACAGTATCAGGGAGGGCCACTCAGCCTGGGAAGGGGCTCCTGAACCCTGCAGCCCCATCTTTGTGGGGACACTGAGGGGTCCCCAGGAAGCCACACTCTGTCTCGAGTCTGGTTCGGGAGCTTTAGGAAAACCCCACAAGCATCGTTCTGGGACGGCCACTTGTACTGAGCGTGAGACTGTTGCCGCGGCTCCCACTGTGGGGCGGGACATCTCCTGGGCCCGGGCACTGCCCTTGCAGGCATGCTCCCACCTCACAGGGCAGTGCTATTTTTATCCTCATTTACAAGAGAAAGGCTTTCTTTCTAACTGAATGTATTCAGCGATGGGAAAAAGAGGAAGGAAATTCATGAAAACAGAAACTAAGGCCACGTCTGGCCCATGAGTTCATGGGATAGTTTCTATTTTGTCAAAAGTGGCCATGTGGCAAAATGGTTAGGACAAGGGTCAGCAGACATGCTCTGTGAAGGGCTGGAGAGAGAATACTGCAGGCTTTGCAGGCGATGCGCCATCACTTTGGCGTGAAAGCAGCCGCAGACGCTATGGAAACCAGGAAAACTCTGCAGGGTTGTGGTGGGCTGGACTTGGCTGTGAGCGCCCGTCTGCCTCCCTGCATGGGTCGCAGTCCTGGGTCTAGGCACATGCTCACCCTTTCTCTGAGCCCCATCTCCTCAGCTAACACAGGCACAACAACAGGACCTGGGCACTGACTGAGGTCACGATGGAGCTGTATGTGGAGAGGGACACTCTTGTCCAGTTCACATCTGGATCCTCAGGGTGTCGAGCGGTGCTGGGGCCTGGTGGCTGCTGTCAAGTCAATGCCGACTCATAGCGACCTGACGTGACACAGCAGAAACTGCCCCACAGTTTCCTAGGCTGCAGTCTTCCGAGAGCAGATCTCTAGGTTTTCTGTCCTACAGAGCTGCTAGGTATGAATCACTAACCTTTTGGTTAGCAGCTGTGATTGACCTTGTGCCGCCAGGGCACCTGTAGTTAGTCCATAAATAACCAGTTAAAAAACAAACCTGTTGCCATTTAGTTGATTCTGACTCCATAAAGCCACGTCAAATAATATATACGAGACGCTTAGCCCAATGCCTGATGCAGAGTAAAGCCTGCTCCAACTCTTCACTGCAGGCTGAGACCTGGGAGGCAGGGAGGACAGGTCTGGCCTCTGGTGGTGTTAGATGCTGTCCAGACAGTTCTGACTCATGGCGACCCCAAGGCACAGAGCACAACTGCTCCCTAGGGTTTTCTGGGCTGTGGTCTTTACGGAAGCAGGTCACTAGGTATTTCTCCCGTGGAACCACCGTGTGGGTTTGAACTGCCGACCTTCTGGTTAGCAGCCAAGCACCTATCCATTGGGCACCCGGTAGTTCTGTGCCCAGAGAGGTCCCAGTCATGCAATCACTGACATTCTTTCCCTTCTCGTTGGCTTTTTCCGAATATTATACAGTGGTTGCCTAAACAAAATTTTATAACCAGGAAATAAAGACAACAGGAAGCTACTTAAGAAAATCCCTCCACTAACTCTGCAGGCAGCCTACAGGTGTATATACACACTTGAGGAATCGCTCACTGCCAGGGAATTCTTGAGCCACGTGCAACATAGCATTGAGCCCGGAATTGGAAAAGGTGATTGGAGATGGCAGGTGGCCCTGCCTTCTGCCTTCCAGTAGTTAAAATATTATTTCATTAACAAGGCAGCTAAGGTCTAAAAAAGTAAAGTGTTTTTCCCACCTCGCAGGTAAAGGTAGGAGGGAAGAAGTGAAAAAGCCCTGAACTGAGTTTAACATAAAAACCAAACCAAACACGCTGCCGTCGAGTCGGAGCCGACTCACAGAGACCCCTCCTTGGGTTTCCGAGGTGGTATCTCTATGGGAGTAGATTGCACAACCTTCCTTCCCAGGAGTGGCTGGTGGATTTGAACCGCCTGCCTTCTGGTTAGCAATGCAGATTAAATGAGCTAACGAATGGCAAGCGTTTATAAGACTGTCTGCCATGTAGGAAGTCATCAATTAATGTTAGTTATTGAAGTCCTTGAGTGGGGAAAATGGTGAAGGCCCTTGGCTGTGAACCAAAAGGTTGAAGGTTCAAGTTTATCCAGAGGCACCTCCGCAGACAGACGGAGAGATTTACCTCCAAAAACTCCGCCTTGGGAAACCCTGTGGAGCACAGTCCCCCCGACACACTCGGGGTCTCCATAAGTCAGAGCTGACTCGATGGCAACTGGTTTGTTATTATTATTGTTGTTGGTATTATTTTCCCATCCAGCTGTGCTCTTGCCACTACTTCTTGTAAGACTTCTAACTATGTGAATTTCCCATTTCCAGCTCAACGTGATGCCTCCTGGACGTTAGAGCAGTGGCTAAAAGTGCAGGCTCGGTGGTTGAACTAGATTTGAATCCTAGCTCTGCTGTTGACTAGCTGTGTGACTGGGGCCAGTGACTCTGCTTCTTTGAGCCTCAGTTTTCCCATCTGCAAAGCCAAGTAATGGCACCACCCTCAGAGACTCATGGGGAAGATGCAATAGCCTGTGTGTGCAAAGTGTACAGCACAGGGCCTGGCCCAGAGCCAGTCCTTGGGTCGTTTATTTTAAAAATAGACATTGAGCACCTACTATGTACCGAGCAATCTCCTAGGCACTAGGGACCCCGCCATAGCCAATTCAGAGAAAATCTTACTCCATGGAGAACTTGCATTGCAGTAGGAGAAGCAGATGAAGAACAAGTAAATATAATGTCAGGAAATTGTGAGTGCTCTGAAGAAGGAGAAATACGGTGAAGGGCTGGAGAGGGAGAAAGGAGGGGTGTCTTTTAGATGGTGTGGTCAGGGCAGGTTTCCTGGGGATGTGACATTTGGACAGAGCCCTGAATGAAGTGATGGACTGAGCCAAGCAAGAGGAAGAGAGGAAATGGAAGCTATCATCATCTTCATCATCTACCTCATGATGATGAACCCTAAGTATAGGGCCTGGCACAGAGTCAATACTCAATCACTACTTATTGAATGACCATAAAGACAGAGACATGAGAGCAATTCAGACCCTTAGGAAACTGAAGGAAAATGAGTAGAATGAGAAAATCAAGATTGGCCTGGTCACTTGGGTTCTAAATCCTGTTTCTTTTTAACTTGTGTGACCTCCATCAAGTCACTCTCTCTCCATGGGCTTCTATTTCCTCATCTGGAAACTGACAGTGAACACCCTCTAAGGCCCCACAGAAGCCCTGAGGGCTTAAAGCTAAAAACGTTCCATTTCAGGTGGCTTAATGGTGGGTGGTGCTCCTGGACCTGCCCATCCATCAGGTAATGCAGGGAATTCCAATTCAAGGGATCCATGGCCATAGGGGCATAAACGCTCGCTGGGGCAGAGACAACACACTGATGTGTTTTAACCTGGCCCCGTTGGCCCATGCAGTAGTTTTGTTTTTCAATTTTCATTAGTTGCCAATATTTAAAACGAAGGAGATTAAAAAAAAAAAAAAAATCCACATTTTTTACTTCTCTGTAAATTGGACAAAACTGGTCCTGCTTTCCTGCATGGTGATGATCAGTGGAAATTGAGTGGCGGCTTCCCCCTTTACTTGAGCTCATCAGTTTTCCACAGACCCCACCGCGCCCTGATGCTCTTCCCTTAGCATCACCTCTCTGATGTTGTTTTTCTATTGACACAGAAAGTGTTCTCTGCCCCCAAAACTGTGGAAGGCGCAATGGCCAGGGTAGGCTATATGTTTCCTGGAAAATGTTTCCCAGAACATACATAATTTCCCTGCTGCCTCCCTGTAGGCATTGGAGCTTGCAACCCCAGATCTACAGAACCACTAAATATCAGAGAGGGGAGGCGTCTAAGGGACCTCTCACTTCTTCAATGAGACAGCTTGGCCGAGGCAGCAAAGAGACTTACTCGAGGTCACCCAGCAAGTTAGTAACAGAGTCGGGACAGGAGACCTCTGTGACACAGTGCCTCCCTCACAGCCCCAGCTGAGAGGCAGCCTTGTGAACCTACCCACAGAGGAGTGACCATGGATGGACACCTGACCAAGGACAGAGGCTGTCAGGAGCCAAGGGGTGGCCTGGTAGAAGACCTTCTCCAAGAACAAGCTGGGCCAGTCAGATTCTTACATTCAGAAGTAAGAACAAGAAATAGACAACTGGGCAAAGAGAAGTGACAGCTAAAGGTGAAAGAAGAAACACAAAGAGAGAGGTGTCAGGTGATGTGGGGGGGCCATGAACAGGGTGAAGTGCTGTGAGGAAGCAGAAGCTGAGGTTCTAAGACATGGAAGGAGGCTGTGAGGAGCTGGATACCCCAAGGAAACACAGGCTGTGAGGGAGTAGATAAACACTATGAAGGAAAAAGCACTGGGAGAGAATGGAAGCTGTGAAGAAGCAGAAAGCATGAGGGAGTAGATGCTTTGAGGGCACAGAAGCTCTGGTAGGACAGGCATTACGCTGCCGTTAGCTACCGTCAAGTCTGTCTCTGACTCACGGTGCTCCCAGGCACAACGGGATTGGACTGTACTGCTCCATGGGGTTTCCACTGGCTGGTTTTTCTGGAACTAGATTTCTAGGCCACTCTTCCTAGGCTGTCTTAGTCAGGAAGCGATGCTGAAAGCTATCCAGCATCATAGTAACACCCAAGTCCCCACTGACAGACAGGTGGTGACTGGCCAGAAGGGAAGCCCGTTCTGCACACGGAAGGCAAACTCTACCACTAAAGCACCGATGCCCCCAGCACAGACACCGTAGGAAGCAGAAGCCATAGGAGTCGAGCTAGCAGAAGCTCTGAGGACCAGGCTCTCTGAGAGGCTGGGCATTATGAAAAAAGACACTTAAGTCTTGTTTGTTTTATAGCTGGTTATATTTTTGAAAAAAGGCAGAAACTGTAATGAAGCAAAAGCTATAACTAAGAAGCAGTAGAAAGTATGAAGAGTTACAGAAATAATACACAGAGTGGATAGTGAGGAAAGCCAGTCAGAACTAAGGTGGAGACGCAGGGATGACAAAAATGACTGAATCCATAGAATTGCAGAGTCCAAAAGCCCACGGCCTTGGGCCTCCCTGCATCCAGTTCTAGCCCCTTTGAGGCCAGCTGTGCTATGATCCCTGGCTCCTCACTGATCCTTGCACTCAGTTTCCCTCGTCCACCCTCCGTGACTGGAGCTGTGCTGCTTGATCCTTGATTGATTTCGATGACAGAAAATCCTGATGGGCAGCCCATTCCCCTGCCCCAGTGGACACCAGGCCGGTCTCAGGCTCCATGGACAGAGGACAGTGGCGGGCCTTCTGGCAGACATCTGCTGGAAGCTAAATTGGCAATCAATCGGGAAGTCAGCCCACAGATGCTTGGTTTGATATTTTCACACTGTATTGAGGGCCTTTAGGCAGCTGTGCCTCAGACCCCACTCCTTCCTGGAAGTTTTAAACTCAGCTTGAATTTTTCACGCCTAGCGCCTTCGGCAGACGTGAACTAACTCCTGCCTCAGACCAGGGGTCAGCAACGTTTTTTCAAAGGCAGCCAGAAAGTAAATATTTTTGGCTTTGTGGGCCAAGAGGTAAAAATCAAGGCCTTTGTGTAAGTACTTAATAACGACAGAAAATACATTTCCATAAATTTTGCATTAAGGAAATTCAAAGTTTTATATATGGGTACTGAAATTTGAACTTCAGGTAATGTTCATGTGTCCTGAAATATGATTTTTCCAACCATTTACAAATGTAAACACCATTCTTAGCTCACAGATAAATACATAACAGAAGTCATTTGGGTCACAGACTGTCGTTGCCAACCCCTGCCTTGGACTATCAGCTTGGACACTCTCTGCGTCCCCAGACAAGGTCAACACTTAGCCAGCGAAAGGGGAACATGGTGGACCACTTGGTTATCCAATGGGCCCATCAAGGAGCACTTCCTAGGTGTGAACCCCACCTCCAGGTCCCTGATTACATGCTTCCTGCTACAGTCCTCACTGAGCCCACTGAGACCCCAGCCTGGGCCCCCTTACCTTTGAAGTCAAACCACCACTTGAGAGATGGCCTTTGGGACGGGAAGAAGAACAAGATGGTGACAATGGACACACCAGTGACAGCATCGGAGAGATACCTACAACGACAAAGCCCCGAAACACATGACTCTAGGCACCCAGCAGGCTCGGGTTGGCGGGCAGCCCGTGAGGATTGGTAGGAGAGAACCTGGCCCGCTATTAAAGGCCTCCTTGGGGCCAGTCCTGCATCACGTCCTGCACAAATGCAACTGCCCGTGGATGCAAAAGCCTCTGGACAGCTCCCTGGGACATGGTTTGGTGCTGCAAGGTCAAACAAAAGCCTGTTTTTCAAATGCAAGGACCTGACCAAAGAAGGAAGAAATGGAGAGCCTTGCAATATTGGGGTCCGTGGAACATCCACAAGTCACCCTAACCTAGACGCTTGTAAGAGTCTTGTATGTACTTGAGCAGCTTCTGCTTAAGTTCCTCCTGCGACGAGCAGCTTACCACACAGAGAGGCTGCCCACCCCACCAGCAGGACCCAGACGGACCCCACATCATCACTGTGCACACCTAAGTGGCACCTTCCAAGCATGCATACATAGCATGTCCTTAAGTTCACCAAACTTAAGTTCACAGACGACTCAGAAACAACCCTCCAAGGCAGACAGCTCACATCTCAGAAAAGAAATCTGAAGTTTAACAGCAGAAGCAACTTTCTCTAGGCCAGACAATGGTCCACAGAGGACATGAGCCTTGAACCCAGACTTTTCTGGCTCCAATAAACAATTGCTAACAAAATCCCTTTAGCCCACACATTTGGAAGAAAGAGTATTCAAATGGCCAAGAAATTTGAAATGGTGATTATTATCACTATAGTGAAAAGAATCAAAATTAAAACACTCATGGAATATCATTTGTCTGCTAATAGATAAAATTTGAGAAGGGTTAGAGTGTTGGGACAAAAATACTGGTGGTGGGGAAGTAAAATGGTTTGACCTTTTAGCAGGGAGTTGGCAACATGTTTTGAAATTTTGTGTGTGATCCAGTTATTCTGCCTCTTAGAATTTACCCTCAGTGAATAATCAGACTATCGTTCACAGATTATGTACAGAGATGTTTATTATTTATATAGGAGTACAAGAGTGGGACTTTAAAAAAGGAATATACTTAAATGAAATGTGTCCTAGCCTTAGAATGAAATATTCTGTGTGTATTTTTTTAAAAGATGAGAGATGATCTTTATGTATCAACATAGAAACACAACCAATGAACTATATAAATCAAACACACACACACACACACACACAGAGTCCCTGGGTTATACATGAGATCAGCTCCTGTTCTGTTAAGAATTTGTAGGCCAGCTGCAACAGAGGCATATGGTTCTTATGTAGCCTTACTTTTATGGTGGCACCCCACTCAAAGATGGCAGTACCACACTCAAAGATGGTGGCCGCTTTGAATGTGTGTGGTTTTCCACAGCCCTGCCAATAATTCAGTCTCAGCATCAGGCTCCTGAAAGGCTCACTACACCTCTTCCAAATCTCCCATTCCAGGGCTTCGACCGATAATTTTTCCCGTTCAGGTTACCATAATGAATCACCAAACTGTAAAAATGCCTGTCTGTTCCTGCTTTGCTTAGTTAGCCGTGACAGAACCAGTTGGAAGCCCTGCATTAAAGGGTCAGGAAGAGTTGTCCATAAGTTAGACATCTGTAACACACACACACACACACATACATATGCATGAATGTGTGTATGTGCTAGTGTACGTGTGTGAGTATGCATGTGTATTTGCTTGTGTGTGTGTGGATAGATGGATGACAGACAGAGATGAAATGCTACCCACTAAAATGTTCATAGTGATTATCTCTGGGGAGTGGGACAGAAAGCAGGTGAAGAATAATTAAGTTTTTTTTATAATTCAGTATTGTTTGAATCTTGTATAATGAGCATGCATAATTTTTGTAATGGAAAAGTAAAAGAGAAAAAAGTCGCAAATACTATGTATAATGTGGTCACATTTTTGTTAAAAAATCTTGTATTTAGATAGATTTGTTGTTGGCTACTTTGCAGGAGTATGTAAAGTCAGTTTGACTAGGGTATAATTTACATGCAATGAGGTGCACCCATTTTAAGGGGACATTCAATGAATTTGGACAAATGTCTACAGTCCTGTGACCACCAATGGGATCATGATGTAGAACTGTTGCCAGATGGGTATTTTTTTTTTTTCAAGTCAAAAAGATGCATGGGGAAACGGGACTCTGAGGTGCTAGGTTCTCTGTATTATTAAAATGTTTACAACACCCATTGTTCATCTGAAAAAGTAACAAAGGTGGCTACATGTTGGAGAAAAAGACAAAAACGGCAATCACAGCGAAAGCCTGCCGGACTCCATTCTGTGAGGCCCGAGAATCTCACCCGGGGGTGAAGAAGCTGGCCCAGCCAGGGATGAACTTCGGGTCCCGGGTGAAGAGGAGAATGGCGAACATGCAGAAAAGGATGAAGACGGCCTGCTCGGCGAACCTGCGGCAGACACACGGACGGCGACGCTGAGGCTGGACTCACCGTGGCCGGGTGCCCACCTCGCAGAAAGCTGAAAGAATGCTCTCCCTCCCAGGGCCTCCTTGGAGTGCCAGGGCAGGTGGGGTGGGGTGGGGTAAGTGGCTCCTGTCCCAGAGCTTCCAGACCCCCCCAGCTTCCTTGGGGAGCATCAGACACCCCTTCTCCAAGCTACTAATATCATTCCTACCAGGAATATCCCGCAGTTCTAAGGAGAAAGGAGAGAGAAAAAGAAAAAGAGAAACAGAGACAAAGAGACAGAAGAGCAGAGAGAAAGGGGAACAGCCACCCAGACAGACACAGAAATGCAGGCAAAGAAAGAGCAGAGCAGACAGACAAGACAGGAGGAGACAGACACACACACACGGAGCAGGGACAGACAGACAGGAGGAGACAGACAGACACACACACACACACACACACGGAGCAGGGACAGACAGACAGGAGGA